AGAATAGAATAGAATAGAATAGAATAGAATAGAATAGAATAGAATAGAATTCTTTATCAACCAAATGTGATTGGACACACAAGGAATTTGTCTTGGTGCAAATGCTCTCAGTGTACATAAAAGAAAAGATACATTCATCAAGAGTCAGGAATCATAAGGTACAACACTTAACAATAGTCATAGGGTACAATAAGCAATCAAATCATACTAGGAAACAGTCAATATAAATTGGAAGGATACAAGTGACAAAGTTACAGTCAAGTGGGAGGGGAAGGGTGATAAGGAGTGATGAGAAGATTAACAGTAAGAGTAGTGCAGTCTTTGTAATAGTTGAACAGTATTGGGGGAATTATTTGTTTAGCAGAGTGATGGCTTTCAGGAAAAACTGTCCTTGTGTCTAGTTGTTCTGGTGTGCAGTGCTCTATAGTGTTGTTTTGAGGAAAGGAGTTGAAACAGTTTATGTCCAGGATGTGAGGGGTCTGTAAATATTTTCACAGCCCTCTTTCATATCAATTTGTTAAGTGAATTTCATCCCATTTTACAATCTTTCTTCCCACCGTTGTTAAGTGAATCACTCCAGTTAAGTTAGTTACGCGGTTGTTACGTGAATCTGGCTTCTCCACTGACTTTTTGTGTCAGAAGGTTGCAAAAGGGGATCACATGACCCCGGGACACTGCAGCCGTCATAAATATGAGTCAGTTGGGAAGGTAAGTGTGAAAAACAGTCATATGTCACTTAAGTGCCGTTGTAACTTCAAATGGTCACTAAAGGAACCGTTGTAAGTCGAGAACCACCTGTGCTCGGCTTCAGAGGAGTGTAGAGCCTGGCTGTACAGTATGCATGCCTATAGGCATGTCAATATGCCCCTTCTTTCAGTAGTTTAATCAAAACTTTCACCTCACAAATTCAGCCATTTTCTTGTACCCATTAACTAATTTTCACGGTGTCATATGCTATAAGCAATCTTTCCTCATACCTAAAACAGTTTATCATTGTTTGCCTCCTTTGTAAACACAATCCTCTCCTACTTCATTGTCTGTGAGGCACTGGTATTAGGCTGAATCTAGAGCTTTTGTTGAACCTACAAAATCAAGCATTAGCAAATCTCCAATTTAGGCAATGTGACAACGCAAAAAAATAATAATCCAGTATGTATACATAACAATGTGTTTGATGTTCTTAAGAGTCCCCTGTCTTGTTTGTTAAGACAGAATATGATTTATTTGAATTTGGCTTCAAGTATGTTGTGAAGGCAGGTGATTATGATTTTCAAACCATAATTTATTGCTTAGTCTTTTGTGTCAATCTATCAGATTTTTAATTTTTTCAGTTTTTCTTTGGTTAGGTGCTACTGTACCAAGAACATAAAATTCTCTGGTAATATCCTCAATTTAATTTTAAGTTAAGGATTTGCAACTTAGATTTCATAATTTATTCAAAGAAGAAACCCAGGCTAATCAACTTAACTGTAATTTTTTTCTTTTTAAACTGTATTCCTTCCAGCTCCCATTCATCAAACATTTTTGATCGGACCAGTCCAAATTCATTAGTTCTTTTTTCTGTTATAGCATTAGTTGTTCTTTCCTCTCCACTGAAATTGAACTTGCCAAGGCAATGTGAGTGGGTTGCTGGAATTTTATTTATTTATTATTAATTTATGTAGCTAGCTACTTCACACACTTTGATTCCAGTGGGATGTGTTCTCACTACCCTAAGTTGAATCTGAATGGACCCAAGTTTACTTTCATTGTTATCTTACTTTCCTCTGGAATTTGGGAATCCTTCAATGAAAAACATTATTTGCAGTCTTCTGACTTGCTACCTTCTGAATATCCAAAAATGTCACATTTTTTGCTTTGACATGGCTAAGGATGGTTTAGTGAATTTCCATTTGAACTCCTATAGTAATATTTGAGATGGCTAAAAAGTTGTCTCATACCTTAGTGATTTTCCACAGTAATTTGTCGACAAGCCTTTTTTTTTTGACCTTTGCTCTGTTTTGTAATTTGTGTGGTTTGAACTTTTCCTGATTCACTTATAATATAGACTAGATCTTAGGAAGGGCTGCTAGTACAAAATTAAGTGCTGACCTTCCAGGCAGTGTGTAGGACAGGTAGTCCTTGACTTACGTCCACAATTGAGCCCAACATTTCTGTTGCAAAGCGAGATGTTTGTTAAGTGAGTTTGCCCCATTTTATGACCTTTTCACAGTTGTTAAGTGAATCACTGCTGTTGTTAAATTAGTAACATGGTTGTTAAATGAATCTGGCTTTCCCATTGACTTTGCTTGTCAAAAGATCACACATGACCTTGGGACACAACAATGGCCATAAGTATGAACCATTTGCCAAGCATCTGCATTTTGATTACATGGTCATGGGGATGCTACAAAGGTCACAACTATGTAAAATGGTCATAAGTCATATTTTCAGTACCGTTGTAAGTCGAGATCTATCTGTACTTGCTTGTAGCCCACTACCTTAATCACTAGACCAAACTATACTTAAATACTTAGATGCTACCATGTGAAAATAAATCATAAGGATACTCCTATATTGTTAATATCAACATTGTTTTTAAGGCATTGTTTGATAAGGCTATATTTCTAAGGAGTAAATTTAATGATAAATAGAAGAAATTAGAAGATGGCAGTGTATGCAATAGTTAAGAAATAGTGATTGCCTTATTTTTTTAAAGAAAACCATATTAATATTGACTTGGTCCATTCAACTGAATGGGAAAGAGATGCGCCCATCAAGAAATTAGGTTCTTGAAAAGACTTGCATGTTTAAGAAATATTGTAAATTGAATAAAATGCAAAGACAAAAGTGATTTTGTTTTTAATTTTTCATATATTTTTATATTTTTCAGGTAAAGTTCGGAAACACTACATTTAAGACAGATGTCTATCCCAAATCTCTCAATCCTCAGTGGAACTCAGAGTGGTTTAAATTTGAGGTAAACAGACAAAGGCATAAACAGAATTTATTGTTAGGCTCAAAGGCAAAATTATTATGAGTCTGGCAAACCCAATAGAGTGTGTGTGTGTGATCTATTTCTGAATATACATCAGTATCTGCAAGCTATCCTGATTCTTTTCAAGAGAATTATGCAAGCTGAGTGAAATTATTATGGTATTTTAGATATGTGAAAAACATTCCATTTCTGGTGCTCTTTTTCTGAACCAAAAATTCACATTGAGGAATAGGGGAAAATGAGAAAACAGAAGGGACATCTGTCTAAGTGACTAAGAAAAAATATGAAAAAAAAGAGACTGGGAAGATGGAGTAGGTAGGCTGGTTGGATAATGTCCTTGACTTCAAGAGGGACCTGTCCTTCTCATCCAGTCTCCATTTGGCCCTTCTTCCTCCGTTTTATTCTGCACTTGAAGTCAAGTGAGGATGAGGATTTGACAAAGGCTAAGTGTCTCTTGAGGGATATGGTGGCTCAGGGGCTAAAACGCTGAGCTTGTCGATCAAAAAGGTCAGCAGTTTGAATCCCTAGCGTCGCATGGTGGAGTGAGCTCCCATTACTTGTCCCAACTTCTGCAGTTCGAAAGCATGTAAAAATGCAAGTAGAAAAATAGGGACCGCTTTGGTGGGAAGGTAACAGCATTCCGTGCACCTTTGGCGTTTAGTCATGCCGGCCACATGACCACAGAGACGTCTTCTGACAGCACTGGCTCTTCGATTTTGTAAGGGTGATGAGCATTTCCCCCTAGAGCTGGAAACAACTAGCACGTATGTGCGAGGAGAACCTTTTACCTTTACCGTAAGCGTCTCTGGAGGGTCTCAGTCATCCAGGTCATGGTTGTCCCAAAGATTCTTTTTCAAAAGTCAGCTGGACTTTCTTAGGCTTTCCTTGAAGACATTTCTCTTCTCATCCAAGAAGCTTCTTCAGTTCTGACTGACAGTTCAGTTCTGGCAGTCCTGATCGTCGGAACTGAAGAAGCTTCTTGGATGAGAAGCAAAACATCTTCAAAGAAAAACAAAGGAAGCCCAGTTGCCTTTTGAAAGAGCACCTTCGGGACAGTGGCTATAGAGAAAGGAAGACCCTGGGAAGACTGTGGGGAAAGGTCAGTTGCAAAGCTGCTGCCTCTGATGCCATTGGCTTTCAGACTCCCCATGCACAGTTTGGCTCAGCCTTGCCTTTCCCTCCTTCCCACCTTCCCTCCCCTTAGTTGGCACCATAATGGGAGATAGAGAGAGTGAAAAGCATTGAAAATTCAGTGGACATGATGGGAAGAAGGCGGAGCCTCCTCGCCTACGGGTGGTAGATCGCAACTCTCTGCGGCTATCGTTCGTGCTCTTTCGTCGGAGAGCCCCAGTCATTTTGATTAGGGGCTGAAACTGCCTTGGAGGGGCAGCGGAGTAAGAGGAAGCAGCAAGCCTGATTGTGGGGAGCCGCATCTCCCCCCCGGGCTTGGTTTTTTTCCTCCCGAAGACGACTGCAGCGGTGGTCTAAAATGGCCATCCCGAAGAGGATGACTCAGCTGGACTAAGAATTGTGCAGGAGGGAAGAAAGAGGTGGATAACATCTGAACCGGGACAACTGGGCAATATAACTAAACAAAAGTACCCCGGGATTAAGGTAACATAATTTTTAAGAAAAGAAAAGTGAGCAGCGAAATTACAAAGGGACAGAGAAAAATATATATATATATATATATTTGACAGCTAAATGGGGCTTTGAACCGGGAAAGGAAGAAGCTGGAATTAAAGATTTAATAAAATTGGACTAAAATAATTTGGGAATAAACAAGTATAAAACTAAAGCTGGACTTAAGATTGTCAAAGAATAATAATAACAAAGTTTACAAATTGGAGAGTGGACTGTGCTGGAGTATTGAGGTTCGAAAAACCTTAAATAAAAAAATAGGGGAAAAAGGTGAAGACTTTCTATAATGGAGAGTGTTACCTTTTGATAAAAATTTGGTTCAAATAAAAGGGAAAGCATCCTGTTTTTGAATGAACTGGTGTGGATATAACATTACAGAAACATTGAAACAAAGTAAGAACTTTAGAAAGTGAAAGCAGAACCAGAATAAAGGAAAAAGCAAGGAAGGATTGTTTGTGGGACTGATTGACATTTTTGGTATAAACCCTGGACTGGAATAACTGAGAACTTTAAAAAACTGAAAGAAGAAAGAAGGAAAGTAAAAGTGGTTTCTTTTTGTGGACTTTAACGATCATAAAATATAAGAATGATGATATCTCTTCAGGAATTAAAAATGGAACTTAAAAATATGAGAGAATTACTACAGGAAAGAGGCGAATCACTTTGCTCTGTGCTGGAAAAAATGGAAATGGCGATTGAAGAACAAGAAGAAAGATTTTCAGAGGAGGAGGAATCGACTCAAGGAGAAGACATTTTCAATAGACAATTAACACAAAGAACGCTACAAAGAAATGGGGAAAGAAGGAAAAAGTTGAGTTTTAAGGCAATTAAAAGGGAATACCTGTGAAGGAATTCAGGAAAGGCAGGAAGATTCAGCAGAAAAGGGGAAAGGAAGATATTAAGAAAGAGAGGGATATAAACGAAAGAAAAGATATGGGGAAAAGAGGGGGAGGAGAAGCAGCAAGAAACAGGCATATGAAAGAAAGAAATACAGAAATAGTAAAATGTTGAAAGGAAATTGTTTTTTTACAATTAAAAGAAGGAATACCTGTGAAGTCAAGAAAGGCAGAAAGACTCAGCAGAAAAGGGGAAAGGAAGATATTAAGAAAGAGAGGGATATAAATTGGAATGAGAAAAGATATGGGGAAAAGAGGGGGAGGAGAAGCAGTAAGAAACAGGCATGTGAAAGAAACAGAACTAGTAAAATGTTGAAAATAAATTGTTTTTTCAGAGATAATGGTTGATGAATTAAAAGGGATTCTGCAGGGTGACGGGGTAATAAGAATATTTCTGCAATTAAAAATATTTAGAAAATAGGGTAATATAGATACTGATAATTCTTATTAAAGGGGGGGGGAATATGCGGTGGAATCCAATTGAAAAGATGTAAAGATTAATGGTTTATTGGGAATTAAGATGAGGGAATAAAGGTATATTCTAATCATTAAGGTGTCACACTCAAAATAGTAAAAGGGGAAACCTATACTTGCTCTTTTTTCTTTGTGTGTGTGTGTGTGTGTTAAAATTTGTATTAATTTAGAATTCATAAAAAAATGTGTAATGGAAAGGGAATATGACAGACTAAAGAACCAGCTAAATTAATAAGTTTAATATAGATTATTAAAAGCAAGAAGAGACATTGATAACTTCAATATTACCACTATTAGGTAAATATATATTGTTTATTTTTATTTTTAAAATAAATATTAAGGATTATATTTGAAATAATTGAAATGAAATAAAAAGATGTTTAGATTGAGATTAATGAAAGAATTTAGAATCAAACTTTATTATTATTATTATTAGGCAAATACATATTGTTTATCTTTATGTTTAAAAACAAATACTAAAGGATTATATTTGAAATAATTGAAATGAAACAAAAAGATGTTTCGATTGAGATTAATGAAAGGGGCTAGAATTAATGTGTTTGTTTCTCTCCTTACTGAAAATTTGGAATGGAAAAGGTAATAATAGAATTAAGTATGCATATATCAATGTATAATTGCTGTCATTTGTATGTAAAGGTGGTGACCCGGAAATACGTTGTCCACTAAAAAGAGATTTTTGTTTTTAATGTGAAAAACTGAATAAAGTTTGTTAAAAAAAAAAAAATCAGTGGACAGAACACCACACAGAGATCATATAGAGATGGGGAGAGAGGAGTGAGTGATGCCACCCTTGGCCTACTCATCATCTCCATAGGGCTTTTCTGCCAAAATTTGGAAGAACCAGATGTTCTGTGGTTTGGTTTTACCAGATTGCACTTTGCCTGGAACAATTGGGCAGAATCACTGTTCATGTGGAATCTGAAACAAAACCAATTTCTGTTGTTCATGTGTACCTCTAGATGTTTCATATCTTAATTTGCTTGCCATATTTGGAAATGTCACAGAGTTTGGTAAAGAAAAACGTTTAGGAAATGTATGGAAGGTTAAAGAAAAATACATTTGTGAAGGAAAATACATTTCCAAGGAACAGGATGTGGAGGGATATAAACGAGAGGAAATGTGTATTTATAAAAGGTTAACTTTTCATCTTTGAAAATCCTATGCTTTTTGTAGAAATTGTTATCTGGTGGAAAAATGGGGCATGAGACAGAGTGGTTTGCAGTGATTTAGTTCAGCAGTGAGCCTACCCATTAGGAAGAACTGGTTTTGCACCTCAGAGGAGCAAAAGGTTGTGGGAAGATTAATTTAGGGTTACATGAAGAAGCCTCGGGGTTAATCATATCCTTCCCCTAAACCTCCAGGTTTACTGGCATGATTGTGAGAAGTGATCAGATGCATTCACTTCTGTTTTCATCTTGCCAGTAGCTTTTAGAGCTTGGAACAACCTCCTTTAAAAGCTCCTATTTTGTACTGCCAAGTAGGCTGTCCAATATCAATTAATGCAGAATCAGTAGGGATTTCTAGAATATTCCAGTTCTATATTTCACTTGCTTCTGATAGAAAGATCCTGTTTGAACCTGAGCACCAACCCGTTCTTTAAGCTCAGTGATTAGGTCAAAGCTGTGTCTTAAGTGCAAGAAAATAGTTTTGCATTAGAGTTTACGTATGACCTTGTGATGTGGGACCATTCAAACATGACTAAACACCAACATGACTATTCATCTTATGGTTTCGTGCAGTTAAACTGTGCATTATATGAAGAAGCTGAAAGCAGAAAGCAGAGTTGGATGTTACTTGTTCAGACAAATTGTAAATTGAACTCTTTGCACCCTTTTTACTTCACAATGGCTCTGTTTGTTAAAATGTTGAAGCTTCTCTATATTCTTCTGTTTTCTAGGTGGATGATGAAGATTTGCAAGATGAGCCTCTACAGATAACTGTCCTCGATCATGATACTTACAGTGCTAATGACGCTATTGGAAAAGTTTATATTGATATCGATCCTCTTCTCTACAGTGAAGCAGCTACAGTTATTTCTGGCTGGTTTCCAATTTACGACACCATACATGGTGAGATTTTCAATCATTATACAGTTAGTCCTCAGTTTACAACCCTAGTGGAGTCTGCCCATTGTGGTCGTAAGGCACGAAGGTCTTAAAGCGGGTCATCATTTGACCAACTGGATTTTACAATTTTTTCCCCCTGGTGTCTGTAAGTGAATCACCATGGTTGTTAAGTGGATCTGCAGTCATTAAGCCAATGCCGCAGTCATTAAGTGAAGCAGGTGTTTTTGCCAAAAACTACAAGGTGTTTTTGCCAAAAAAGAGAAATAAATGCTGGCTTTCTACAAAAACAGGGTAAATTGCAGTCACATGACTATGAGACACCGCAAACAAGCATAAATGTAGGCCGGTTGACAAGCAACCAAAATGTAAACACGTAACTGGAGGGGGACAGCAATCTGAATTCAGTACCGGGTTGTACATACCATTTGGGGACCCATCATAACTTCAAACAGTTGTTAAATGATCAATCATAAATCAAGGACCACCTATATTTTTATTAGGCAAAACCTGCATAAGCATTTTTGGCAAAATTGGAAATGGGAGTGAGGAAGGGGGATACATTTTTCTATAGTTCTTTGTATTAAAAAAAGATATTTTCCTTTAGGTTTTTTTTTTGTACCTGCTGCAGGTATTGTTATTTTTAAGTCTTGATCTTTCCTAAAGAGATTTTATGTATAATTGTCCTGCGTGTTTTTTTTGTAAAGACATCAATAATCTTAGCAGGAAAAATCTGATAGAGTAAATGATAATTCAGACCAAAAACTGGTTTCTGTTCATTCTTGGATTCTTAACATTCAAACTGCGTTCTTTAAAAGGCCTCTTTCTTTTTCCAAAGATCTTGCTTTTAAGAATGTATTTATGGATGAATCGTATGTCAGTTTCTCCATGTAGTATCAGATGTAAGTTACGGTATGAGCTCAAATCGTTTCCAGAATTTCCAGGATAGAACATAGGGTCATTAAAGATGTTGTCCCCCAGCCAGCTTCCTGATGAACTTGTTGACTCCTTCTTATGTTTCATGAGTCTGGAGTTCAAACACTGGTGAGCAAATACAGTAAAAGAAGAATGTTTAAATGACATTGCAGTTAAGTCACAGTGTTGGAGGGTCCTCCTGTAGCTATAATAAAGTTCCTGCTGTACTCCCAGTTCTTCACTTAATAGTGCCTTATATTTCCAGGATAATTTATTTCCAAGAAGCTTTAATGCACCAAATGTTCAGCGTTTGTTTGTCTGTTTATTAAATTTATAGGCCATTCATCTCACTTTCAAGCACCTCTGGGCTGTTTACAATGTCATAGCATAAAACAATTTGAACATTGAAAACATTAAGCATTAAAAGGTAAAACAGTAAAATTACAACAAACTGGAGAAAAAGGACCAAAACATACATGGAGTGGAGGTGACATCTTATCCTAATTTACTAACCACCTTCAGAATGGGAGGTCCCCATCGGTCTCACAAGCCAGAGGCAAGTTTTCAGGTTCTTTTGGTAGGCCAAAAGGATGGGGAGGAGCTCACCTCAAGGGACACGAGTCTTTTCTACCATGGAGCCATGATAGAAAAGGCTCTTCTCTTGGATTCTGCCAGTAAAAAAATTCCTTGACAGAGTCCAGTTTTTGACAAAAATGCCCCATAAACAAACGATACCAATAGCACTTAGACATATACTGCTCCATAGTGCTTTGCGGCCTTCTCTGAGTGGTTTACAATCTCAGCCTATTGCTCCCAACAATCTTGGTCCTCATTTTACCGACCTTGGAAGGATGAAAGGCTAAGTCAACCTTGAACCAGTTGGGATCGAACCCCAGGCTATGGGTAGAGTTAGCCTGCAATACTAGATTCCAACCACTGTGTCACCAAGGCAACAGGTTTGCTTAACAACTGCCTCGTTCGCTTAACCACCACCATAAAAAGGGTAATAAAATCAATTTAGTTACATAGATGACCTGCTTTACAACTCTCATAATGGTCAGACTCCATTATGGTCGTAAGTCAAGGGCTTACCTGTATTACATTTTGAGAAGCTTATTTTCTGTTTGAAATTGTATCTGTGTTAGGGTTCAGAATGATAAGGCTTCAATCGGATAACTTGGATAGTCAGTTTTTGTGTTCTGACGTAAATTCTCATCCTGTTGTTTTTATTTTCACATCCAGGCATACGTGGGGAGATCAATGTGATGGTGAAGGTGGACCTTTTTAATGATTTAAATCGTTTTAGACAATCGTCATGTGGAATAAAATTTTTCTGCAGTAAGTCGAAAAACACATTTTTTTGAATATGAAAAATGAAAGAACCAGTGAACCAATTCAGACCATTTAAGATTAAGAGTCTTTAGGTTTCTTTTGAGTGCTCCCAACCAGATTCCTCTCTTGCAGCATCTAATGCATTCTTTGATAATTCTTTATTACTGCACAATAGCTGCTAGAATTGACTGGTTATTGCAGGGTTTCTCTATCTTGGCAATTTTAAAATGTGTGGATTTCAATTCCCAGAATTCCCTAGCTGGCTTTAGCTTATTGGGTCCTCTCTCATTTGTTACAATTGTCTTTGCTGGTAGTGAGATTACTTTTGATTCAACTTTTGTTCTCATTCTAAGCTCATCTTCTGATACTCTATCTTAATTGCTTTCTGTTCCAAGCATCCTGTTTGGCAGAGGTGCATAACTTCGCAACAATGCAACATAAACTTTTCTGTTTAATATATTTATCATTATTAATGTATATTTATTGGGAATGTGGGGCTCCCCAGAATCAAAATTACAGCATCTCCATAAATCATTTTCACTGATTAAATATAAGACAGACTATATCTTCAACAGCTACGTCTATTCCGAGGTGCTATAAAGCTGTAATTATTCATGGATTTGTAGAAGAACTTGTAGTTAATGAAGATCCTGAATATCAATGGATAGACCGAATCCGTACCCCGAGAGCATCAAATGAAGCCAGGCAAAGACTTATTTCATTAATGTCAGGTAATTTTAATTTTTGTAAAATTGGGGTACAAGAACTGCAAAAATGCATTATTTTGCATTTTAATGACTTGTTTGTATTATTTAATTTATACCTTGTAAACTAACTGGCCAAGTTAAAGCTGCTGTATCCTAAAAAGAAAGAGACAATATTTTGTTTGTATACTGTATATTGTAGTAGGCATAATGGATGTTGTAAAGGCAGTGAAATTGCTTTTACATTTCTAGCTAAGAATCTGCCCAGAGAAAAATTACCCAAACAAGTAATTGGGTGAGCATTTTACCTGTTAACATATAACTTAATCCAATAATAATTTACAAACAGATGGCGGTGATTTCAAGTCTGATCTGAAACTGTAGTTAAAGTTATAAAGCAGCCACGTAGTCTCTGGCATGTTGGAATTTCAAAGGTCTCTTTGTTATTGTTGAACTATGTAAATGTACATTTCAGGATGATAAATTTAGGCACTGAATGTGTGAACAACTGAGCTCAGCCATTAATTTTATGGATATTTTTTTCATCCAATTGGAAGCTAATCCAGTCCATAGTTCAAAGATTGAGTTGCCAGGGTCTACTTGTTTGTTTATTTGAAAAAAAATTGGCCCAGAATTATAGATGGCTAACCACGAGCTCAAATTTTAGCAAAAAAAAAAAAGTATAAGAATTGAGGGTAAAAAGCATGTATCTGAACGCCTAGAACACAAATAACACCTAGAACACACAAAAAATATATATGAAAGTGCCGCAAAATAAATTACATTCGGTTAAAGTAGTGTATACAAAAGAACACACATAAAGGAAAAGAAGGGGAAAAAATAATATTTCCACAGAAAAGACCTGAGCATATATTTAAGATGAGAAATAAGTGCTTTAAAAATTGCCTCTGAAAAGCAATGAGAACATTTCTAAAAGTCAGTGCTTGGAAAAACCCCTTGTGGGAGTATCACGGTGGGGACTTGGTCAAGGCAAAGGGGGAAAAAAAGATTTGCCAGAAATCCTAGCTTGAAGTTATACATGACAAAAATAAGAAACTTGAATCTGGCTTAATAATTACCAGCCATGCAGTGGCTTCATCACTGGTAAAATATATACAGTTATATGGCTGCTGCCCCGTTTTGCAGCTGGGCCACTGCATTCTGCAGCTGCTGCAGTTTCCAAGCTAAAGGAAATTTTGACCTTTGAAAAAAGAAAATGTAGCAAGCAAATCCGTTAGAAAATGTAGCAAGCAAATCCGTTAGAAAATGTAGCAAGCAACTCGATAGAAAAGTGTGATGAAACTATTTTTAATTTCCTGAGAATCATAGAGTTGGGAGAGTCTGTACAGTAGAGTTAATCCAGGCCAGGTCTGGGGAACTACAGTTCCTTTTAGGACTTCTTGTGGCCTTCCAGAAATCCTGAACCAGCCATGCTGGCTCAGGAATTCTGGGAGTTGAAGTCCACAAATCATGAAGGGCCCATATATCGAGGAATTGCTCAGCAAGGGTCCAAATGAGGCCAGAGGTACTGACATAAACTTGTAGTTTTATAGAAATAAACATATTTAACATTCATATTTACACCAGACAAGAGAGTTTCAGGAACACAGGAATATCATGAGGTAAATTAATCATATATAGCACACAGAAGAAAACAGGGGGGGGGGGGGGGGAAACTCCCCCTTTACACCCACAGCAAACAATCACAGTGCAGATTGCCTCATGCATGAGTCAGCACTCTCCAACCCATCAACTGTAATCGTTTGTTCTGGCCTATTAAACGCTTTAGTGTCCCAGCTATTAAATTTAACATCCTGACACCATAGTTCCCCACCTCTGAGCTAGATGACTCTCCAATCTCTGAAGGTCTCCAGTGAATAGTAAATGTCACTTCACTGATTGAGACTCCTTATCTTGAGGGAATTCATTTTGGTTAAATTTGATTTTATTTTTTGTTTTTATCCTGCCTTCATTATTTTATAAGTAACTCAAGGCAACGGACATACATAACACTCTTTTCTGCTCCTATTTTCCCCACAACAATAACCCTGGTGAGGTGGGTTGGACTGAGAGAAAAGAACTGGCCCAAAATCACCCAGCTGGCTTTCATGGCTAAGGAGGGATTAGAACTCACTGTCTCCTGGTGAAAGGCCCAAAGTCACCCAGCCAGCTTCCATGTCTAAAACAAGACTAGAATTCCCAGTCTCCAGGTGATAGGCCCAAAGTCATCCAGCCAGCTTTCAAATGCCTAAGGTAGGATTAGAACTCACATTCTCCTGGGTTTTAGGCCAGCACCTTAACCACTATACTAAACTGGTCTAACCTCCTAGTACAATTTAGTACAATATCATGGTAAAATTGAAGTTCATTTTATCAGTGTTCAAAATCATTTTACATTCATTCTGTATTAAATGATGTATGCTTTTTTGACAGGGGAGCTGCAAAGGAAGATTGGTCTGAAGGTACTTGAAATGAGAGGAAATGCAGTGGTTGGCTACTTGCAGTGTTTTGATCTGGAGGGAGAATCTGGCCTAGTAGTGCGAGCCATTGGAACAGCCTGTACCTTGGACAAATTAAGTAACACACCTGTATTCTTACCTGCATGTAATTCCCCATCCAAGGAGATAAAGGAGTAAGTATGAATTAAATGTTCCCTGGAAAGTTTCTTTTGTGTATTCTTTTCAAAATCATACTGTATTGCATATTTTTTGTCTGCTTTGATTAAATATACACTCCCCTGTCTTCCTTTTATATTGACAACTTGTTTTGTGTTGAGAAAGCTGAATAAAGTGACCAGATGTTGTAGGAATAAAATGTGTGTCAGATGCCTCAGCTACACATAATTCTTGTAGTGTTACACAGCATGATGGCAATGACATTAACCTGTTCTACATTCCAGAGTGCTTTCTCTTCTTAATGGATGATTGAAATTAAATTGCTTCAATTGGATGTTTGTATTTTGCAATTTATTTTGCAAAATAAAACCCCACAGGACCTCTGTGTTTAGTATTTTTATGCTGAATGCAGTTGCTGTACATGGATTTAAGAGGAAGAAGTCTTCAGTGTAATTCTAAGCTAATATATCATAACTTGAGTGCTGTCAGGTTTTTACAACTGTCTGCAATACTTTCCTGTCCCTTACTTAGAACAAATTAAGTTTTGCTGCCCTTTCACTTAGTAGGCAATTGGCCAACTCTGCGTTCAGTAGCAGTTGATAGAGTTAAACTTTTAGAATGAGCCAGAGAAATAGAAATAACACTGTGCCAGTCTGAAAGTACTTTGTTTGAGAAAGCTAAACGCCAATGAGAATATATTATTTTATGTCTTGCAATTATATAGCTCTTTTTATTGAAATCTAAACAGGAAAAATTGCTACAATACAATGTGAGATTATCTCAGTCATGCTTACTGAAAATTTCAAATTACGTATGTAATTTAACCTATTGGCAGGTGCCTCTCTTTAGGTTAAAAATGTGGGCACCCAGATAATGTGAGACTTCTATTTTAAGTTTTATGTCTATGGAGATTCTCAGTCATCCAGGTCATGGTTATCCCAAAAGTGTTTTTTCAAGAGACAACTGGACTTTCTTGTTTTTCTTTGAAGACATTTAGCTTCTCATCCAAGAAGCTTCTTCAGCTCTGACTGGATGTTTCCTTTCATTCTCCATCATACAGTCAGAGCTGAAGAAGCTTTTTGGATGAGAAGCGACATGTCTTCAGAGAAAAACCAGGAAGTCCAATTGCCTCTTGAAAAAGCACCTTTGAGACATTTTAAATTTTACTTAAATTATATTATGACCTTGTTACTTTTTATAGTAGCACAAATCTTTCACTGATTTCACTTTGCATACTTAGACATTTACATTGATCAGAAATAAAATTAAGTTGGTCCAGTTCATTTCTTTAAATTTTGATTTCAAAGATTATTGGGGACTTATTTTTAGCTTTTCAGCTTTAGCAGAATTATAATTACATGTTAACCGAGCAATGCTTAGCTGGTCTCCCCCCCCCCCCCTCAATTCTTTGGGGTGTAAAACTCAAAATGAGTCAACTAGGACACTGTTATCCTCTGTGTAGATTCTGGAAACTTTGTATATCTTCTATTTTAAAAAAAATCAGTTAGGCTACCCTTTGTTAAATATCAATCTCCCAAATTCCTCTTCTTGATGTAAAGCATTATTTTAGAAGGAAGAGGAAGATCATGTGTGATTATCTAACATTGTCTTTCTTCACCTTTTCCATGTTATGATAATTAACTAGTTGCATGCTTAAATGTTAAGCTAACTAAATTGGCAAGCTGGAGCTATTGCATCAGTGGATTGAATTTTTAGGAAGCTTCCCAATTTCCCATTCACCCCCTGATTGAAATTGGTGGAATTTGGTCGAACCCTGGTGGTGCAGCGGTTAGAATGCAGTATTGCAGGCTAACTCTGCCCACAGCCTGGAGTTCAATCCTGATGGGGCTCAAGGTTGACTCAGCCTTCCATCCTTCCGAGGTTGGTAAAATGAGGACCCAAATTGTTGGGGGCAATATATTGACTCTTGTAAACTGCTTATAGAAGGCTGTAAAGTACTATGAAGCGGTATATAAATCTAAATGCTCTTGCTCTTGCTATTAAATCTATGGGCCACATTGGGAATCCCCACAGACCTTACATTTGACACCCCTGCTTCAGAGTTTGCTCTTCACCAACAAGCAAACTACAACCGCAACCTTCCAGTAACTAGAACACCCTAGAATAATTTTTTTTTAAATGTAACTTTGGCATTTTTGTTGTATGTATTTTTCCCCCTTTCCTTCGATCTCGGCTGCAAATTCTCTCAGGTCTCTGCTGGCTCATCCGCCCAACCATGGATGTCGTTCGACTCACAACAGTCCAATTCACACTGCTACTGGCTCACGGCTTACTCAGAACTTCTCTGTGTCTGTTCCCACTCTCATCTACACTGGTACGCGACTGCTCAGATTCAGAAGCTGGGGAGAGACAGGCGGCAGGCACAATGACAGGCAGGCAGGCAGTGTAGGCAGGTACCTATATCCCTTAGAGCTCTTCTTCTCCAGATAAGTCCTTTGTATTCACCTGCTAAGTCAGAGGAAACAGGAGACCTCAAGAGTACCTTCTGATCTCTTTTTTGCTTTATTGTGCATACCTGTTTTCTTTTTTCCTTCTCCCCGCCCCCCCCTTGCAATAATGACATTTGCATCTCAGGTATCTCTCTCATAGTAGGGGGGAGAAATGTACATTTTGATCAGGCTTCAGGCTTGATCATGATGTTCTCAAAAAGGATTCTGTGCAAGATGTCTTAAATTGGACTGACAGGTAAGGCCTTGCTACTGGCAGCGGCGCTTGTGAGTACCAACGTCTGGGTATGATCCTCTTCTTTCTGCTTTGTTTTTAGCTGTGGCAACCTGCAAATGCTAACGGATAAGGAAACATTTTTTTTTTTGGAAATATATATGCGTCTTTATATATATAAATATATAACATATCTGTCTGTGTGTACATCAAAGCACAGATATATAACCTGCAACCATTGCTTTGTTTTCTTTTGTAAGAATCTGGTTAAAAAAACATACTGCATTCTTGCAGCCATGGTTTTTGATGGGTTTTATGTTCTTGTTTACTTTCCTGCTCTTCGATGCTTTATGCTTTAGCTGTGGTTTTTATTTTGCTGGTCAATAATGCCCATCTGCCTCCACGAAGTTGTGCGGTGAACAACCTTTTCCAATGCCTGTGGGCATCATAATTTAGCTTCCCACCTTAAATGAATCATTGCCCCTGTCCCCTCCCCCTCCCTGTCCACATCCTGGTTTTGGGATCATCAGCCTGGTCCTTTGATGTAGGATCACTGAATCTGTTTCCACCTTCTTCTGGCAGGATTCCTTTCAATGAAGATCCCAACCCCAATCCTCATTCATCAGGACCCTCCACCCCTCTGAAAAACCAAATCTATTCCTTTTCACCTTCCAAGTCCTACAGTCGACAGTCCTCCTCTTCTGACACAGATTTGAGTTTGACACCCAAAACTGGTAAGGTGCTTCCACCCACGTTATTTTAATTTGTTTGTGATTTGTTTTGCTGAATTTGTATTGTTTCTATTTTAGCTTTTCACTCACGGCCTTTCTCTGTTTTGGGCATATAGTAAATCTTTGAATTGTTTATTGAATTATGTGGCATCTGGAGATCTCCTGCAAACTGACATGTAACCAATACACAAAGATTATCCTAAATAAATTGTTTTTTCATTTCCTCCACATCATATTGCAGATTATGGAAATTAAAAATAACCATAATATGTTTGGGAGATAGTCTACCATGTCTTTCTGAAAATGTACAAATAGGTATAACAAATTAAAACTTTTCTTGTATCCGCATGTCTTTATAATCAACTGAATAAGGCCTGGTTGCCTGTCTTTGGGGCTGCTTTGAAGACAACAATAAAGTATCTTTCATCTTACAACTTTCTTTGATTTTTTAAATCCTGTTTCAGAAAATGAAATTCCATGTTAACGTTTTATCGTTGTCAAAACATAAGTTAGGATATAACAAACCCAGTGCTTTTACAGGTAGCCTTATGACCAACCACCACTAAGCCCAAAATTTCCATTGCTAAGCAAGATAGTGGTTAAGTGAGTTTTGCCCCATTTTATGACCTCTCTTGCCTCAGTTGTTAAGTGAATCACTACAGTTGATAAGTTAATAACATGATTGTTAAGTGACTTTGGCTTCTCTGTTGACTTTGTCAGAAGGTTGCAGAAGGTAATCACTTGAACCCAGTACACTGACCGTCATAAATGCCAGTGGCCAAGCTTTTGAATTTTGATCACATGATCGAAGTTACTTTTTTTCAGTGCTGTTACCAAACAAATGATTGTAAATTGAAGACTACCTGTATATATGGAGTATATGCATACCATACTGAAAACAGGGCGGAGCAGAATAACATCACTTTCATGTGACCGCTTTACTCTGCCTACAAACACAGTGATTCTTGAGCCATTAGCCAGACTTGCCTTGAATGGCATGGAGAGTTAATAAAAAGCCGCAATAAACCATTGTTTCTCAGTTTTAAGGACAACTCTGAAATGAGAGACAAAGTGGCTGTGAGAAGAAGCCTGATGAAATAGCAAGATTTGTTTATAGTTCATCTTGTTAGGTTGGGATAGTTAACTGAATCTAAATCTACCATTCCCTGCACATATTTTTCTAAATGACTAATGTGGCAAGGCATTTTTAACAATATGGCTTCACACAAATATAATACTGAAATATCACAGCTTTAACAGAATTTAAGGAAACTCAACTCATAATCTGCATGCCTCTCGGTGGGCAAAAAAACTACTTTTGCTTTCTTAAGATAGGAAGGATAATACAGGTAGTCCTCGACTTACAACCACAATTGGGATCAGAACACCGGCCAGAATGGCCGACTTAAGAGTTGAGCCCACAACAACTTTAGAGAAGAGACTCCCTCATACTGCATTGTTAAATTAAAAGGGAATTTGAAATTATCTCAAGTTCTATTTTGAAATACTTCCTGTCATTTCTTTTACAAAATATAAGATAGAAAATGTCAAAGCTCTGTAAATTATGTCTAGTATAGAACATAGAATAATAGGGTTGGAATAGACCTTGGAGATCTTCTAGTCCAGCCTCCTACTCAAGCAGGAGACCCCATATCATTCTGGAAAAATGGCTGTCCGATCTCTTCTTAAAAACCTCCAGTGATGGAACTGTCATAATATCTGGAGGGAAATTGTTCCACTAATTAATTATCTTAACTGTCAGGAATTTTCTCCTTAGTTTTAGGTTGCTTCTCTCTTCCACCCATTATTACTTGTTACAACCACAGCTGCTTATTAAAATAAGTCAGATTCCCTGCTAGTATGATAGATGGGAAATTTAGCTGTAGAGGTGTTATATTAAGTTTTTCAGTTATGGAAGTTCAGAGTCTTAAAACCGAGAATTGTGCTTTCCTTACTAAATTAACAATCTAATACAGAGATTATTTTCTAAATGAGAATTTTGGTGCTTACCCAGAAAGTATATATGTGGAGGAAACTGAAAAGAAGGGAACACAGTTATTTATTTTATTTAAAAATCAAAATGCAAAGTAACTTTTTAAAATTGAAGGCTTTCAAAGCAAGCTGCTCCCATTTCCATTAGAAAGTGCAAAATCATTCCGAAAAGGGGAAATTTATTTATTTATTCGTTGTTTATCAAATTTCTGCACCATTCATCTCACCTCTGTAACTTAACGTGCTTTTTTTTTTTTTTTTTAACTCTCACAGAAAATGGATAGTCATCTCCTGTAAAACCCATTCAGTTTGGAATAACCTGCATTTTAAAAAAAGAAAAGAAAATTAAAGCACACTTTAAATGGCTTTAAAATAGAGCAGTAATAGATGAAGGTTTCACGTTGAGTGTGCCCATTCATCATGTTGCATTTGTCATCCTGTGAATTGTAAATCCATAACGGTTCATAATGCTGCTCGCTGTCTGTTCTTTTCTTGCAAACCTAGTTTTGCTTAATTCATGTTGCTTTTCCTTTTTTTTTTCTTCTTGATTTCTTTTTTTTTTTTTTTCATTTTCTGAACTCTACCATCTCTTTACTGCTTTTCTCCGCAGCACTTCCCCTATGGGGACCCAAGATTTTCCTGCTTCCTAGTTCCCCAACCTTATCTTGTCGTTCCCCATCACTTACAAAGCCCAGTCTTCTCTGCTCCGGGCCTAGCTCTAACCCTCTTCACTCTAGCCCTGTGAACCCAATTCTCAGGAAAAGTATTTCTTTCACTGAAGAGCTACTTCTGGCTGCTTCGGGTAGGATTACTCTTCAATTGCCTTGCTGGTTTGGGTAATGGCACCAAGCACAGTGTGAAAGCTTCTTATGATTTTTTCCCCACCCTTAGATCCATTTAAAATCCCAAAACTGCTGGCTACATGACGTTGGTATAATTACTTTTCGGGGATTGGTTTTTCCATTCCCTTCCTTTCATTCCAAAGTTTATTACGACTGTTTTCTAAAATCATTTTGATTATGCCTTTTTAATCATACTTTGCTCCCCCCAAAACTTAATGAGATAAATAATTGTGTTTTTTTTTTAAATTGTGGTACAGCAAGTCCTTGACTTACAACCATTGTGAAGCCCAACATTTCTGTGGCTAAGCAAGACAGTTAAGTGAGTTTTACCCCATTTTATGATCTCTCTTGCCACAGTTGTTAAGTGAATCATTGCAGTTGTTAAAATAAGTAACATGGTTGTTAAGTGAATCCGGCTTCCCCATTGACTTTGCTTCTCAGGATGTTGCAAACGATGATCGTATGAGCCCGAGACACGTCAACCAATGTGAATATGAGCTAGTTGCCAAGCATCTGAATTTTGATCACATGACCTTGGGGTTGTTGCAATGGTCATAAGTGTGAAAAATGGCCATAAATCACTTTCTTCAGTGCCATTGTAACTTCGAATGGTCACTAAATGAATGGTTGTAAGTCGAGGACTATCTGTGTAGCCATCTATTTACAGCCATGTTTCAATGTTCCTCTGTTTCGATTGGGTGGAACATTTCTTCTTTTTCTTCTTTGTCTTCTTCAAGTCATTCATATTACTTACTCTGTTGACCATCATGTGGCCACCAGTCCTGCTTTGTTTTTTTTGTATCTGCAATTTAAATGCCCTTCTAAATGTTTACGGTATAAATGTCAGTTTTGCCTGTCCTTTCACAAGGCTGTTTCAACGAATGTAAACTTGGTTAATGTTGTGGAACAATACAGTTTGGGTTGTTCTCTTTCTGGGTGAAGTATGTTTCATTTCTACAAAACAGCCTTCATTCCATTTCTGTCTCCACTCTTAGTATCGTATAGTCCCTTGTCAGACAGATTTGACAGCAAAAAGAAAGAAGAAAAATTAGATTGACTGCACCATGCAGAATGGGACTATATAGATGCTAATATTTGTTTCCTTATCCAAAAACAGCTAAAAATGGAGGTTTTAATAGGACAGGGATGACCAGTGATTTGTAAATTTAATCATGCAATGGGGTCTGTTTCTATTGCTGCCATTTGCAGATCGCAAGTGTTTGCAGAACATCAGCTGTAATATCAGGGGTTAGTACAAAATGAACATTTCAATTCAAATGAGCAGGAAATCTTAAAACTCTGAAATTAGATGTATTGTTCATTTGGTCAGTTTATCCTTTATCGTTAGACTAAGTAGGCCTCTGTAATTCTATCAACAGTGTTTAGTTTCAGGAATATGGCTACTTATATGTACTTCAGATACTTATTGTGGCCATAATGTTCTGGATTATAGGCATCCATACACTTTTGTCCAAGTCGTATTTTATTGAGGTTTGCCCTGAACAGTTTGGAGAGAACTGAATGTGCTAAAGAGGACATTTTAAGAAAGCTAAGCACAATTGTTTGGCGTTACTATTCTAGGCAGCATTAAGCCACTATGTCCTCTTAAAACATATAAATGTCTTCAATGCTAGAGTATATTTGATTAAGAACTAACAAGCTATTGGAGATGGACCTTGTAAATTAGTGTCCATTTGTGTTCCCACTGTGCTTGTCCATATTCTTCCTTTTTCATATAAGCTGCAGGGTGAATAATTTAACATAATGTCCAGTCCTGGAGTTTTTGTTGTTTCTATCCAGATTTTTATGCCATCCATCAAAAAGAAAGTTTAAAATCAGCTTTCATTCTGGTTTGTATATTAAACATATTAAATTGTACTCTTGAATTTAACCAATGTACTAAGGTATCCCCCTATTAATTAGTTTGCTGATGGTTTGTTAAAAGAAATTAGAATTCTCTCTTTATTAGTTGTAAATGTGGACATTGGGTCTGATCAGGAGTCCATTCAGCTCAGTATTGTTAAGGATGATTATTACTGGAGTTTAGTGTTCATGACAATTGGGGATACCAAAGATTGATACTTGAAACTTTGAATTTAAACTATATCTTTATGACTTAGAAACAACTTTTCCTGAATAAATTTAATGGAATTACTCAGTAAATGCTGATGTGAAAAGCCTCATGATTTCAGCCTTGAAAATACAATATTTTCCTTTATTTTTTTTAACTGTGTATGATTATACCCTTTTCCTAATAACTGTGTGGGCTTGTTAAATCACCACAGAATTCCAAGTTTTAGTCCCTTTTTATGTCAAAATAGCTATATGGTTGTTCACAAAATCATATGAAAATCTTTGTATCTCGAACTGCAGTGTTGTAATGTCATCTTTAAACACTCTGAAATATTTAACTTTTGAATTCTGTTTGGGTTTTTTAAAAGTTCAAATTGCACCGAGGGGCATTATCTTTAGGCAATGGCTCACTAAAGTTTTAATCTAGCATGATCACATTTAATAGTTTTTGCACATAAATCGTAGGCCATGTGCACCCTAATTATAAATAAAAATTATAGCCTGTTAAATGAAGCTGAAGCTTACTTTTGTCCCTACTATATACATATTTTCATAAGTTAATTGATACACAAGTCTGGCTGTTTGGCCATTTCAGTTTAGACTTTCACAGAGTTGTCTACATTTGCCAGTAATCAAACATGTGCCACATTTTTAATATAACTTTGATGTAATTATGTGTCTATTAATTATGTGATTTCACTTTGACTTACGTGCTGATGTTCTTTAGGAATGGGAAGTGGTAGTGCTGGAAAAGAAGGGGGGCCTTTAAAAGCTCTGTTAAGACAACAAACTCAATCAGCTCTGGAGCAAAGGGTAAGAACTTCATTAAATCCTGTTATATATTTGATGTATACCAGCAAAGTTCAGGTCTAACGCTATTGAGTTCAATAAGATTAACTTCTTGGAAAATCTGAGTAGGATTTCAGCCTAGGGCTATCACTTTAGAAACATTTCTATATTTTTCTACTGCTGTGTAGGAAAAGTGTACTTGATTGTTTCCTTTATTATAAGTAATTATCTTTCTGCTGCAATTGTGAATTATACAGGCTGTCACCTTTATTTGGACAGAGGGATGAAATGCATATCCCTATAAAGAAGAGATTTACATCATGAAGATTTTCATAAAGCTCATAAGGTTTTCATTGGTCTTTTTTGCTAATGACATAAAGGTGTGCAATCGAGTTGACACTCCTGAGGTTATTTATAACATGGAAGATGATTTGGCATTGGTGGAAAATTGGTAAAAAAATAATGTGGAAACTGCAGTTCAATGTAGTGAGATTGTGCATTTAGTGAAAAGGAATCTTCTGGCAGGGTACAGTACTGGAGGTACAGCATTAGACAAAACAGCAGAAGAAAAGGATTTAAGGTGTGCTTACAGCAGATGACTGCAAAAGAGTAAACAGTGTAAACAGTAAACGAAATTCTGAGATGCATCGCTGGAGGGATCACTAGCAAGAAAAAGGAGGTCCTAATCCCACTATATAGGGCAGGAGTGTCAAACTCGATTTCATTGAGGGTCACATCATGGTTGTGTTTGACCTCGGGACCGGGGTGGGCATGGCCAGGATGGGCGTGCCAGCGAAAAGGGATTCCCAAGCTCCGTTTTTGGCTGCAACAGCCTCCTGCAACCCTCCATCAGAGGCAGAGGCACTGCAGGCCAGTCCTTTGCTGTTTCCAGGGCAGCTCCGCGGGCCAGATCTAAGCACCGGATCTGGCCCCCAGGCCTTGAGTTTGACACCCCTGATATAGAGCTTTAGTCAAACCCTATATGGAGCATGGTGGCTCAAATGGTTAGGACTCTGGGTTGGAGGTTAGTAAGGCCACATTTGAGTGCTGCTCCATGGCGGGATGAGCTCCCATCACTCATTCTAACTTCTTGATGGAGACATGAAAGGAGCCCCCACAGGCGTCACTCGAACAAGGGTGATGTCACCAGCTAATTATTTCAACCCGGAAGTGCCTTAAAGGTGCTTCCGAGACAAATTGGACAGGGTCAGACCCCATTTGGAATACTGTGTCCAGTTCTGGAGACCTCACTTAAAAAGAAATACTCAGATTGAGTGAGTCCAGAGATGGGCCACAAAAGTGGTGGAACGCACAAAACATATCAGGAGAGATTGGAGGAAAAATTTAAAATAAAAACAAGAAAACCTCAAAGGGCAGACTTGATGGACCCCTAGGTCTTTTTCTGCTATTAGTTTCCTATATTTCTATAAACTTGAATACAAATATATAGGCATTCTTTTCTCATCAGCCTATTTTTTTTTTCATATTTCTAGTTCAGTCGAGCTTAAAACAGACAAGCTATCTTCCTCATGTCCTACCCGCACATTTTAATTTTATATCTTTAAATGTTTACAAGAGGCTATTTAAGTCTGATTATTAGAGCTGAAAACCACATTGTAAATAAGGATTCCACGTTCACTGGGCGAATTTCAAATCATTTGTAGCAGTGAAATTTTACTTCAGTGAATGAAGAGGGCTCTGCCGAAAATTACATGTTTATATGTCACGTCCCATTAAAATGTGGATTAATTCGAAATGAATAGCAGTAGCATGTATCAGTGGATAATTTTCTCCCCATTTTTGTGTTACCTATTGCTAAGGGAGGATCGCCTCATAAATTCTGTAGAAGGCGGGTATGTTCCAATTGCTGTGTGACACTTCACCTCTTTTTCTTTGTGTTCATATTTATTTTGAGACTCGTTTTTCTACCTTGGACCTTTTATTTGAGGAATTTGGAGCTGGTTATTATTTTTTCCACATTCCTTATGGAATTGTTCCTAGGCAGAAAATTTTCGAGAAAGCTTTCTGGAGCTTTTAAACAATCCAGTTACTCCTTTGAGTTCCGCATGACTATACATTTCATGTAACGTATCATTTTTCATTGATTTGATTTTGTAATATTTAATTTGAAAAGTAACAGAGGAAAAAAAAAGTGTTGACTGTTGACTTTGCTGCTTATCCTAATAATTTAGATCTTTTGTGGATAATGGATTTAGTCTTTCGGTTGATATGCAGTAAATCATGTTTTCATTCTTTACAAATGTTGACTTTGCAGTCTGAGTACTTAAATATACATTGTTTGTAAGTCACAATCATACAATTTTATAAGAGATCTTTAAACGATTTTGCCTTTAAAATGATGTATTAAAAGCTTCTTCACAAATAACATGCATAGAGAATATGCATGATGCATGTTTAGATTAGCTTCATATTTAAAATGTGATTTTTTTATTTGCTTCTGCTTTCCCCCCTATCAAACCAAGTCCTCTTTTTTGGTATTTATAGTGAAATGTGTCCAATAATGACTCTGGTCCTCCATTGGAAATATAATATAGTGTAATAGTTATCCTGAAATATAACATTATTTAACCTCTGTATCCTAAAAAAACTTCACAGGTGGCACTAAAAATTTGTAAACTTGACTGTTCTTCATGTGTATAATTTGTACACTGCAACAGAGTTTTAGAAAACGCTTTTTTCAGTAGGGTGAAAAACTGGAAGGGAATATGTTGAATTAATATATTAAAGCACAGAACTAATTCATTTGATGCTTTTGATTAGGTATGTTCTTCACATAAAAACATTTTTAATCTTCGTGGTCTAATAAGATTTTGTGAAAATAGGTCATGGATTTGCATATTGGTTATTCTACGTAAATAGAAATAAATTCAGCAGGGTCAGCGCAGCATAGCCAGTTTGGCGGTTGGTATTTACCTAAAACATTCCCCGAATTAAAAGACGCAGATGTCAAATTCAAGATAGTCTATGTTTATCCAGTGCAAATACAGTGAAGCCTTGCTTAAAAAAATCTCAGTTATTCACTAATATCTCTTAAATACAAAAATAAATCGTTTTAGTAATTTGCCATTTGCATGTTAATTACATCTTGCAAATGACATTATGTAAAACCTCAGTATAAATTTGGTCTTCTGTTGCAAGCAAAACTGAGAAAATTTCATTGTAAATACAAAACGATTACCAGGTGTCCGTGTTATTTACATTATTTTCTGTAGTGCAGCCTCATGGATGGGTCCAAAAGATTCCACTTGAGATTTATAATTTAGTGCCACAATTGAACCATAAAGTGAAGCTAATGTTTATATTGTTAAGAAATTTATTTTGAAATGATAGTTGGAGAATCTTAGTGAATTTTAAACCCAAAGAACTTTGCAGGGTTTTTTTTTCACCTGCTTTCTTGTTTCTGTTTCTCTTTTCCCTATATTTTTTTTTAAAAAACATAAAATTAACTCATCTAAAACGGTCTGTACCTGATGGCGTAGAGCAGGGGTCCCTAACCCCCACTCTGTGGTCCAGTGCAAGGCTGCACCTCAGTCAGAACTGGGTCACGGAAGTAATGGGCAAATGCATGAAACCATTACACACACACACACTGCCCACTGCTGCCTGCACCAGTCCACTGAGCCATAAGGATTAGAAGCTGCTGGCATAGAGTATTCAGAATGTGAACTTTATGGTTTGTGGTTAGGAGAAACTGTAATTATGATTCCCCACAAGAAGTAATGACTTTCCCTCCCTCTTATGTCTGGTTAGTAAACACTAATTTGTGAAATAAGCCATTTTCCCCCTTTGAATATTCTATACATTTCTGATGTATTACTTCTTTCTTCCTTATTTTCTAAAATTGATCAGTGGAAATCCATCTTTTTCCTGTGAATATTCTATATATTTTTGATTTGCTAGCTAGCTAAATACTCTATGCCAGACAGACAGACTACCCTCTTTAAGGTTCTCTTCCACAAGAACCACAGAGGCACACATATCAGTTATGGTGAAATTTCTTTTATCTGACTTCCATATATATATTTTTTAAAAATACAGAATCCTTATCTTTGACCAAATTAGATCAGTGCCAATAAAAGATAAATTATTAAATTATACTCTAGTGCTTTAAAGTAGCAGTTTTCCTAATACTATTCCCTTTTTATGATCCTGCAAAATATAATTACCAAACCAGTAGTAACACCGGTTGAATCCCACCACTGGCACTAACAGCTCATAGGTGTGACATGTCAGGATTGAAACTGGACACAAAGGAGGAGAACCACCACAGAGTAGTGCCTTCCACTTCCAATCCCTGAAGCTACCTAAGAGAATGCTGCAGTTGGTGATTCTGAAAGCTGGCAAGAGCTACTGGACTGAAATCTAAGAGAAACTGGTTTAGCTAATCTGTTTCTTTCAGGGTCCTTTAGAGTTGAAGCTTAGAGTTAAAGTGTTAGATTTCAACAGCCATGTTGTATGAATCCTTATTTAAAAATAAATTGTTACAGTAATTTTCTCCCAAGAAAATGTACACAGGATTATAATTTATAAGGAGAAGTAGCAGTAAATGAGATTAGCACATACAATTTCAAAATAAAAACAGGTGGGATTATATTCTACAACTGGAGAGCTCTTTAAAATGTGTTCCCCTTTTAAGGCACTCACCATAAAAAATCTGACTCAGCTTTCTATGGTGTCACAGTGTACGGTTAACAATTCAGTCTAGCAGCAGGATTACGTGGGGGAAAGTAGTATTTTATTGGCTTTTGAGATGTCTGCTGCCCCAAGCAAACTGGATGGCATACATTTTGCTTGCTTAATGCATAATGTAAACCAGGGAGAGGCAACATCTTGACCATGGACACCAGTGTACACATGGGCACCTCCTTTTCTATCTATTGGGGTTATTTTTTTTTTTGAAGAGCAACATGCTATAATGCCAGCTTTTAGCATTGGCATCATTTGCACATGGAACCCCCGGAGACATTTTTAGAAAGTAAAAATGGGGTGCATGCGTGTGTGGGTACAGCCTAGTGTTTTGTTGGATATCGTGAACATCTGAGAGGCAGAATGCACTCTAGCGGGAAAATCAATTTATCTTTGGGGAGTGAGCATCTGTGACAATGCAGCAATGCTGCAAAAGAGTCCGTGTGACTTTCCCAAAACTCTACCTGTGTCTGTTGACTTGACAAGGTTGCCAACTCCTGGTATATATTTGAAGGCAGCCCTTTCCCAGTTGTTTTCTTTCATTTGTATTTCATGAATTCCATGCATGTTGAATTGGTGAGCAGTAGGACCAGTTCATGAGGTCAATGGCTATTTTGTTCTTCTGATTGGCACAGGAATTTCCTTTTTTTACTTTGACGACGTTTCCTCCAGGCTTCCTTCTCCACGTTGGTGGAGTCGTCAGCGCCCGCTCTGTGAAACTCTTGGATCGTATCCACAATCCAGGTATGTTATAAGCCTAAATCTACTTACATTTCATCCTAACCTTGTTTCTTTGTGTTTATGTTTATCATTTTTTGCTGGAGATTAGAACTTGGAAAATGTTGAATGGTTAAGCATACAGGGTGTTTAGCAAACATTTCAGACAGCTTCCTTGTAATGTTTTTTGTGCCATTGAGTTATGTGACTCATACGATACCACTCTAGAATTAATTGCTTTTATTTTGTTTCCAGATTCTGAAATTAAAATGCCCAGCAAGACATTGAGGGCAAACTTATTGAGTGTTCCGTACTGTCTTTTTTTTTTTTAAAGTCTTTATAAGTTTTGGCACTGAAGAATGCCAACTGACATGAATGATGATGATTTAGATAAGGTTCTAAAAATTACATAAAATGTCTTTAAAAGATCCACTTGCCTTAACCCAACCGGAAGTATATTTTGGAAGTAGAAAATGGCTTCCTCTAACTAGTAAGAAAATCATTACAAAAAACTTTGTTAAAGATGTCAATGAAGATTCTCAATCATCCAGGTCATGTTTGTCCCAAAGGTGTTTTTCCAAAAGGCAAGTGGACTTTCTTGTATTTTTTTCCCTTAAAAAACATTTCACTTCTCATGCAAGAGAAGCTGCTTCTTTCAAGGAAAAGTCCAAAGAAGTCCAATTGCCTTTTGGAAAAGCACCTTTAGGTTTGCTAAAGATGGTTGATTCCTAGTGTCCAATCTGTTCTACTAGGGCTAGAGAATGCATGTCAGACAAAGGTCTTTCTTGTAAGGCTGGTCTTTTCATTTTCATTGGGATTATAAGCATTTTTCCCAGTCTAGTATATTTTCCCATGGAACAGAATGTGCATTGTTCTTGGTGGAGTCTTACTGACTCAGGATTAGTCTGGGAATTAGTGCAGGAACTTCTAGAAAATGATTATTTAGATTTGTCCCCTTGGGAAAAAAAAACATTCTATCTGCTTTGCCGAGCATGGATTTAAATCGGGGTCTCCAAACATGGAAGCTTCAAGACTTATGGACTTCAACTCCCAGAATTCCCCAGCCCCCCAGGAGCTCAAGCAACAATGTGACTCTGGCACAGAGACGTTTTTCCTTAGATAGCATTAAAGCATCCAGATTTGCTTGTTTTGTTTTTTAGCCAATTAGAGCAGCCTAAGTGGGAGACACATTGAAGAAATGTTTTTTTTTTAAAAAAAATCTCCAGTCTTTGATCAAAACGAGCTAGTCTAAATGGAATATATCTTAGAGCAATAACTAGAAGCAGTAAATATGAATGCTGCCAAACAAATTATGAGCACACACACACACACCCCACCAAGTAATGTTCTACTTGTAGGTTTTTATTCTGTAGTTACTGGTCCAGGGTCTATAGGAGACTGGGTTAGATTCTTGCCCTTCCCCTGCCTATCCAGTCTTTTTAATTAGTTGGTCATATTTCTAAATAAATGAATAATTCTATTCATATAACAGAATAAATGCTATTGGTCTTTCTAACCAATAAAAATAAACCCTGGTATTTGACTAGGAAGGAAGATAATTGGAATTGTTTGCCTTTTAGTTGTGGTACCACTGAACAAATAAATGTTTGATAGAAGTCACATTTTTTTTCTCCCAAAAAGTTTTGAGAAAATTTTCTTAGGAATGTACCAAGTAATCCAGATGATTCCTTGCAAGTGGATTCCAGCTTGTAGTCTTGTCTAGTCTTTTCCTATAATCCCGTCCAGTTCCCTTCCCAACTTCCTTTTGAGCAGATTCTGATGTGAATGGAAGTTCCATTAGGAACAAAAAACAGCCAGAAAATTTACCCACAGGTTGTGTATTCTCCTTTAGGATATCTTTGATCATCTGAATTGAATGCTTCTCTGGTTACCTTGTTTGCTTTAGTGGAAGATTAAATTGAATGCAATGAATTTTTTAAATAAAATGTCAGAAGAATGATCTTTAGCAGAGGAACCTCTATCTTGGATAGCTAATATCAAGACCTTGACTGCAGCATGTTTGCCATAACAGATTCTGTCTGGAACAATAAGTCAGCTAACTTTTTTTTCTTCTATTAATCCTCTCCTTGTTAATCTTTGTGGCCATTGCTGTGCTGAATGCCTTTTTACAAACTATAGCAATCAATGTCAATATACAGTAGTTGCTGCTTAAAATCTTGCAAAGGTCCATTTGTGGGATGGAGTGAAAAATAGTTTAATGATATTACCTAGTTTGGGTAATGAAACATCTGCAAGAAAATAATCAAACTCAGAGAGTACCAATGACCTCTCGTTTCAACCCTGAGCTACAGATATTCTCCTTTGTTGGTAAAACAATTTTTTTCCTTACCTGATACAGCTCTATTTTGACAAGAATCAAAAAGAGACGTTGGCCTACCGATTTTAGTTGGATTTTTTTTTACATAGATCAATTTTTAATTCTCTTCATCCTCTGCTTTCTCCCACCTCTCAGGTGAAAGTACCAAAAATTAAAACTCTCCTTCATTTCTTACCTCCAGTTTCCCAAAGAAACTTTCTCCCTTCCAAAATGCCTCTCTGTTCTTGCTGAAATGGATGATTGCCAGATAAGACACGATTGCCTCTGTCTGGTAGTGGTCTAACCATTTTTTTTTGTACTGTTTATACCCTATTATCAAAATAATGTTACTTTCAAAGAGGCAATGATGTGCAGATGGCCTTTGTTGCTTTTGGCCTTGGCATGAACTTTGGATGTCAGTATGCCTACTTTCGTGGTTTTGTGCTTTAGGTCAATTCCTAAAATGTCAACTTTGTAATATTTTTTTTTAGATTTTTCTACAAATTTTATTTGTTGTTTGTTTGTTTAGGAATGGTTAGTAAGAGAATACCATGAAACACGATTAAAGGTTATGCTGATAAAATGTTAATATTTTTTGTATAGTGCTATATCTGCCAAGTCTTTTGCTTTAAAGGGGAGGGAAAAAACCCTGTTATGAGCCACTTTTAGCACAAATAGGATAGACTTTAAAATGTATAAACTACTAGCAGTGCATGGAGAAACATAACCCAAACTTTTAAAAGGTGGTATTAATTATTTTTTATTTGTTTTACTTAGCCTACACTTAGATTAACACAATATATTCCTCCTGTCTTTCTCTGTTTTCATTCTCTTATTAACTCTGCTGTCTGTGTCTTTCCAGTTCCTTTGAAGCAACCCTCTCAGTTGTATTCTTGTTGTATGTGTGTGTGTTGATGTATGTTGATGTATGTGTGTGTTCTTTTTCTTTCTTTCACTATATTCTGCTGCCATAACTGATCTACTTATTTGCTGTTTTGAACTCAGCCTTTGTCGGAATTATGGGTAATACAAGATCATACAAACTACTAGACTGGAATAGTTTCAATTCAGGTATTTTATTAGTCATTCAGTACTACATACACTGACAAAAATTATGGCAGCTCAGTGAAGTCTCTTTAGAAATACCTTAACTCATTGCCAAGCTAATGTTTCAAATTTTGTTCTTTTTAATTGAGAAAATTTAAAATAACTTTTATGATTAATCTAGTAGGTTATATTATGAAATTAAATCCCATTGGTTCTTGCTAGACTGTATGTCCCTAATTATCCCTCTATATCAGTATAATCACATCATACACTACATTCTTTCCTTTTGAGATTTAGCATTTCCTGTACTAGAAGTAGGATCTTCTATGTGGTTCTCAGTTATGGAGAATTTTTATTTGAAGATCACTTTTAGCTACATCTGTATTAGAAGCAAAATGACTTCTTGTTATTGAATAAGACATCTTATTCATGTTGCACATACTTTTTAGGTTATTTATGGATTTTAGATATATGTACTGTTTTAATATAGGCCATTTAAATTTTAAATTATCACACAGTACTGACTAACTGAAGAATACAGCCAAAGTCACATTATCAAGTTACAGTATTGAGGTAGACTCAGAAGACAAATGCATGATTCTGTATGATTTAATCTGTGTATTTTAGGTTACTGGATTAAATATATATTTTAAGAGACTTATTCTTTTATTCAAGATCAAATAATTTAAATAGTGCAGGCCAACTAATACTGTAGTATGGATAAATATTCAAAATGAATGGCATACTCTTCTTTGGAACCTTTAGATGGAGAGTTATTTTTTAAATTAAACAAAAGAAGCTGATCAGAATGAGTTGTAGTATGCTTTTTCCACAAATGAATATTCAACTTGCTTATGTTAACTATGTTAAAGTGAGTTTGCATTCATTTGCTTCATTTTAGGAAGGTTGAAAAGGAAACCCTATGCTAGAATCTCTTTTCTAGTTTTCCTTTTTAGTTCTACAATTGTACACAATTTCAGTCAGTGAAAAAGCATGAAATATCATACTCGTTATGTCGGAAGAAACATTTATTTAGCTATTGCATTTAAATCCCACCTTTTTTCCTATTGTACAATACTTTAATTCAAGGAAACGGGTACAGAAGTAGAAATAGTATAGCTATTTGAGCTCTTATCTCTGAGTCAACAGCATATTTTCCTGTCCAAGAAGGATGATTTGCAGAGGCATATTCCCCAGTTATACTAAATTGACGATTGATAAATCTATCACCTAATACATTCATTATTTCTGGCAAATTTTTGTCAATAAAAGCATTCAAAATAAATCAGATGTTTAATCATTGACAGCATCATGAAGCTGTCTTTGCTTTTGCTCTGAATATTGATTTAAATTCTCAGAAAGCTTCAAAATCATTCACTGAAAAGGAGCTGAGATAAATTATTTAGTTATTGTTTATGGCATTCCTAGTATTTCTGTATCACCAAAATTACAGATCTCTTTGCAGTTTACAAATCAAATCACAAAAACCAATAAGAGCCATAAGCATAATAAGTGGAAAAAATCAGTAAAATTTAATATAGCCTACTATTGATTGGATAGGAAACAGAGAGTATATACAGTATTAGATTCCAAAGGCCTGTCAGAAAAACCATGTTTTCCCCCATTTTTTAAAAAGCAATTAAAATGGGAGCTAGTTGGATCT